CACATGGATTAGGACCATGGGGTAGTAATCAGTGGGCTGGATCATCCCCATCACATCCCGAATCTTTGCTCCAGGGAGGCAGTACACCTCGCATGTTGAGGGGTCCTGGCGACAGATGGGGCCCTCCGTACCTCTCAGGATGGAGTTGCCTATGACGATCGCTCAACGCTTCCTCCTCCGGGTCTGCTTGGCTCCTTCGGCCTGTTCAGAGCATGAAGAGAGTGGAGTTGCCTCCTCACTGGAGGTTTCCTCCTCTCCTTCCTTCTCCTGCAGTGTTGCCAGAGCCTTGTACCTGTTATCCAGCCGGACTGGAGGAACTGGTACTGCTTTGCTGCGAGCAACCCTGGTTTTGGTTGTGACCGTCTGCCACTCAGCAGTGGAGGGCACCTCCCAGGGTGCTTCTTCCTTGTGTGCCTGGTCCTGCAGGGAAAGGAAATAACCATCAATTTCATCCTCCGCCTCCCTGATTCCCCTCAGCCTGCTAACCTCCTCCTGGAGCTCCCTCACCTGCGCCTCCGGGGCCCTAAGACAGGCGCCTGCAGGACAGGTGTGGGGGCCCCCATTCCCTGCCCCCTCTGGCCCTGCTGGGCATCCCCCGCAGGCCAGGGGGCAGGTGGACGCCAGCCCCCCATGGGCTTTGTCTGGGTGGAGGCTTCAGACAAGCCCCAGGCAGGCAGCGCCCCCCGGACAGGGGCCCTAGCACCACTCGGTGTCCACACCATTGTATAAGTTGCTGTTTACTTAGAGTTTTGTGTGGTGCCTTCACCCTACCCTTGCAGGAGTCTCCCTCCTGGCCCTTCCTGCCTGCCCTCTGGCACGAACGCCAGTGCAAACGCCGGCACGCTCTGTTCGCATGGCACGGCTCAGGAGCGTGGCTCCCTACTGGCTCAGCTAAAGGGTTCCGGGGGGCAGTCGTTCATTTTTTAAGTATTGGGACCCATAACTGTGGTGTAGCTGTGCTTTGGCAACCTTGAGGAGTACATACCTTCTGCATGTATATATGAAGATCACTGGAGTTACTGCACATCAATGCCATTTTCGAGAAGTCTGAATTTTATTCCATGTGCTTGCAAATGGTAGACCTTGAAAAATATATGTTTTGTCCACAAAACTGGAACCATTTTTGGAAAGTATGGCACTTAAAATTCAAAAGATTAATGTTTCAGCACTTTTCAGAAAAACAGCTCTGCTTTTCTCACCTAGTGAGATGCTTTATATCCTTTGGCTGCATTTGGTGAAACTCAAAGAGTTCTAGGCTGTCCTCACTTATATGAATACAAAATTTTCAAATTCATAAAATTCTCTTTTGCTTAGCACAAGCTCCTTACCTCCTTTTAATTCTACACTGCTTCAGTGAAATTTTTCAGTTTATTTTTGTTCAAAATTTTGTCTTTTGGATAAGGAATTATTGTCCATTTTTCACAAAGGCTTCCTGTTAACTTAATCGTCTTTGATAATTACTGTCCACTTCAAATATTATTTTTGACATGGTGTCCTGAAAAATGAAGTAGCTTTGAACATATCTCTACTGTACTGTTCTGACCAAAAACTTGACCCAGTTTTATATTTTAAAATGGACATCCTATCCTCTAGGCCTGATCATCTTCAACTTGGGAACATAACTAACTAATGTAAGCAAGCAGACATGATGAATGTTTGGTATCAGCATAATTCTGGACGCTTACAAAAATGAGTTACAAGTAGTACACATCCTCAAATTTTTACTTTTTGAGAGAGAACTTTCCCCATTTTAATTTTATTTTAATGCATATGGGGAAATCCAGTTTGAAAGCTATTTCTCTAGTGCTGCCAGAACTGATTGTGAAAAAATGGATTTCCTGAAGGAATTGCATCATTGGTTCCACCAATAAAAGTTGACTGTCCTAAGGAAAGGGGACCTGCAGTTGAATTCCAGCTGACACAGAAGATGGTTCAAGAATAAGCAGTAACTTTTGTATCCATTTTCTCAGTACAAAAATTAAAACAGATAGATGAGTCTGAAGGGCAGTGTTGCACTTATTTAGCAATTCTACTGGCTTCAAAAGCAACACATTTATAGAATGAGTGTACCAACTTAAGAAAGGTAACAGTTTGAAAGAAAACTCTTACACCTAAGTTTCAATAAAGAAAGTTAATGAGCATTTGGAACAGGGTGGATTTGATTTAAATCAAATTGATTTAAATTACATTTAAATCATTGGTCAGGAAGCCTCAATTTAATCATTTTCTACAAAAAGTGCATTCTTGTGGTTTGATATCCTTTATCCATTTCACTTCTTGAAACTTTGCACTTTTAGAGAAAGGAAAGGGTTTGACTGTGTGTACACAAACCTGCAGAGCCAATAGGGCTGATGGGTGGGTCATCAGCAGGGATCCTGGTTTTCTCTGATAAAAAATTACAAATTCTCTGCTAAAACCCCTCCCAAATCCGTGATTAAAATTAAACCCCCCTACAGTACCCCAGCTGCGAGGGCTACAGACCCAGGTCCAAAGCCCCTTGCCCCTGCTCCCCACTACTGTGGGCTCGGGCGGGCTGGCTTCCTGCTGCCATGTGCACTCCCAGGGGGCAGGGGAGACCTGTGCCCTCAGATCTGTACCCAGGGCAGGTGTAAGCTGCAGGCTCAAGCTTTCACCCTGCTTCCCTCTCCCAGGGCCTCCAGAGCCTGGCAGGCATGACTCAGCATGGCTGGGGCCAGCGAAGCCGGGTTGGGATCTCCTAGCTGCTGCTTGCCCCTCACTGCCCTGGCAACGTGCCTCCTGTGCCTTCTGCTGCTTGGACGGGCACAGCCCCATGCTGCTGCCCCCAATGCAGCCCCATGTGCAGGAGGTGCGACGTTGGTGCAGCATTGGATGAGCAGTGGTGAGGAGATCCCTGTGCAGTTCCGCCGCTGCCTGCTGTGCCAGATCACACCTGCCAGGCTCTGGATGGCCCCAGGGGAGGGAAGCAGGGTGGCAGGGAACAGTGACTAGCAGCTTCTCTGTGCTGTTTGGCTGTTCCCTCCCACCCTGCATCCCTCCCCTGGGGCCACTGGAGCCCAGCAGGCATGACCCAGTGTGGCAGGCAGCAGCGGAGCCACGCAGGGATCTCCTTCCTGCTACTTGCCCTGCACTACCCCGGCACCATGTCTCCTGTGCACAGGGCTGCAGTGAGTGTAGCGGCACAGGACTGCACCCCTCAAAGCAGTGGCAGGGGCAGGAGGCATGTCACCAGGGCAGCGGGGGTGGGGTGAGCAGTAGTGAGGATATCCCCACGCAGCCCCACTGTCACCAGCTTCGCCAGGTGGTGCCCATTGGGCTCCAGAGGCCCCAGGGGAGGAAAGCGGGGCGGGAGCCTGAGCTTGTGCCTGCCCCAAGTACAGATCTGGGGGGTGTCGGTCCCCCTCCCCCCCCCCGCTCTCTGGGAGGGTGCATGGCAGTGGGGAGCCAGCCCTCCCCCAAAAGCATCTTAACAACAAAGAATATGATTAAATTTAAAAAAATCTGATTTTGATTTTTAAAAAAAACTGATTTTTTTTTGTAACCCGGGTACACCCAAGGGTGTGCCCTATTTTCAATCGGATGGGGCAGGTAGGCAGGAGGGGGTGCTCTTAAAGGGATGCCAGAATTTTGAGCGGATACCTCTTTCCTCTATAGAGTTAGCTCAAGCCCAAATTCTTAACTATATACAATTTATTGAGTTACCAATATACACATATATAAAACTCTTTAAGATAGATATAATTACAGATATAGATACAAACATACATATAAAGGTCTGTTAGCTGGAGGAAGTCGGCCCTAGGAAAGGCATTCGGGCAAGTACCCGTGCCTTAGGCCCAGAAGAGGGGTGGCTCCCAGGACAGTCAATCCAGCAAGTTTGTACCACAAGTGGGTTAGCTAATAAAGACATCCTTACAGAGCCCATTATACAGAATTAATACACCTAACTATTTATAACACCAACAATAACAATAGATACCGAATAGGAAACATAACTATACCAGATATTAGATGCACCCTATCTGGGTTCCAACCACTTGATCCCTTGAATGGGATAGGGTCTTCTCCCCCTAGGCCCACTCCCCCCAGGGTCCCTTGCCCAGGGATGCCTCCCCTGCAGGACCCGGGTTCCCAGTAACTCTCAGCCCTTCTTCTGGGGGCTATCGATCTGGCCTCTGGGTCCCCATACCGTCTCAGGCCTCCTGGAGCCATTGGCCTCCAGTTGAAGGTTCTTCCTTCTGGGCCCCACGTTGGGCACCCAGGGAGCTCCTGTGGGAGCCGAGCCCTCACTGGCTCCATTTCCCCAGCCTTACACCAGGGGTCATTCCCCTTCCCGGGCCCTCCTTTGTGCACTGGGGCTCTTTTAGTTTAATGCTGAGCCACACTGTGGTGCTCTGGTTATCTGGACTAGAGCCGGGGCTAACTTGAGCAGCATCGAGCTGCTCCCAGGGCCGACTCTCCGTGCACTGACCTGCACACTGTGTGGGGCCCGAGCAGCCTCCCCATGTGCCAACCTGCGCATTGTGTGAGGCCGGAGCAGCTTCCAGGGCCTGCTCCCCGTGTGCTGATCCATGCACTGTCGAGGCTCAGGCGGGGTCCAGATGATAGTCTTCTCTGGAGCTCCTCTCTCCTCGCTGTCCCTCACTGCATCTGCTCAGCATAGCTGAGTACACTGGGCTTTTATTTACCCTGGAGGCCCACCCCTGAAGTCTGCCGGACCTGCAAAGCGCAGTCTTCAATCAGGTCTAGGGGTTTCTCACCTCCCAGTCCAAGCAGGGGTGGGGCAAGCCCCTCCCAGCTGTTACCTGATTGGTGGAAATGTTCCACCAATCCAAAGTGCCCTTCTCCAAGCCGGGTTTGCCAGGCGAAAGCAGTGAGCCCGCCACATTATTATTATTATTTTTAAATCATTGACATTTATCCACCTTGATTAGGAAACAGGAATCTTAAAGCTCAAAGGAGAGCAGTATAAGGGTGCAGACAGAAGTTACAATTTTCACCCGTTAGCCTGTGTTTTTCAGCTTTTCATCAGCCAGCATATTCCTGGTTTTCTTGTGATGTTGCTGGTATGAGAAGAGACTCTTTGGATCCTAAGACACGAGACTGATACAGAATGCAGGAGTAAGAAAGGCCGGTACTGAAGCCAATTGATATCTCTCAGTAAGGAAGGTCAGTACTCGAGTAACTATAGATGTAATCTTTCTGCTACTGAAGCCAGTGATATCAAAAGCTGTGTGGTCAGACCCTGTGTGAATTAAATCAGTACTATGTTGGCAAAGGAACTAAAATGTACGCTGCTGCAATGTGTTCCATTTTGTCTGTGCTGTTTATCAAATGGTGACAGGATTCACTTGTTTTGATGGGTTGTCCCCACTTTTCCACAGATATTCTGGATTGCCTTTGCAGAATTCATAAGATGTATCATTCTTTCCTTTTTATTATTTACTTTATAGTAATGCCAAGAAGCCTGGAGTAACATCAGTCCCCTTTATCTTGGACTCTTTTTTTTTTTTTTTTTTTAAAAGACACAGACATGGTCTCTCCCACAAAGAATGTAACGATATCCGAAAACAAGAAAGATCTAAAGCATGAGGAAGAGAAAAACCAGAAAATAGTCTTTTAGATGCACCCATGTACTATTGTCCTTAGCAATATAATTTTTGTTTAAGTGAAATCTTGTATTGATATATTGGTGTGTTAACCCTGCTTGCAAGGTTCAAGGTTGTAAAAGTCCCTCTCTGGCTAAAGCAAAATGTAGACAACCCTTATGTAGCGTGATATTTTAAATTATGCTACAAGATTTAGGATGAGGCATTAAGGCACTGAGGTGGAGAACAGGAATCAGACATATTGGGGTTTTAAAATGTAAAAACAAGCTGGCTTGACCTCTGTAGTAAAGATTCTGTTGAACGGCAGTATCATTCACTTGCTGCTTGAGCAAGAAAGCAGGAAGCAAGTGCTTATGGAGATAGGAAAAACCTGTGTCTGTGGTGTTTTTTTCATCTCTTGTCTGGGTCAAAAGGTCCTTGGTATCCTGGCAACACCTAGGGTCTCAGCTTAATTATAATTATAATATTTAATTATAATATTTGCTCCAAATAAGAAAATCTATTTAGCTTAGAGCATAGATAGGATGAAAGGTTCAAGAAGAAGGAAGAGAGATGTATAAAAGACAGATGACTGGTGATCCTGCACACACCTCTTTGATCACCTTGTGACACACACCTTGTGGAGTGTCAACACATGAGATCGTGACCACAGATCTCTACACTCAGTGCCCAGCAGGAAACTCGGGACCTGGTACCAATCCTGAATCCTCACTGTAAAGCTCTGAACTGCTTGTCAGGCTGGTGTCTGTATGTATGACTAACCTTGTACTTAAAAATTTTTGTCTTGTCTTCATCTAATAAAGTTCTTGGTACCAAATCAGACGAGTTGCTGTGTCATTCCCCGTTGTTTCTGGTGAAGCAATTCTATGAGTAACGCTTGTGATGTTCAGTAAAAAAGAGGAGGCACAGTGCTAACAATCCAGAAGTTAGTGTCTATATACTTCTGGAAGAATAGGTTGTAAAACCTGAGTATTTAATTACAGTATGCAATTACTTTAAACATCAATGAGTTGTCACACCTCCAAAGTAAATCATCGGGAAAAGAAAATGAACCTCAACCAGGGAAACATTACAAAAAGAAAGTCAGTTTTTAGGCCACTCTGTCTAACTTCCTGTTTGAAGAAAAAAAATAAAATCAGAAGTCCTAACAAATGAAATTACACTGCAGTTCAAGGTGCTTTGGGTAAATGTGATATCTTTTATTAGATGAACTAAATAGTTGGAAAAGTTGTTCTTTGCAAGCTTTCCGGTCCAAACACAGGCATAGGGAGAGTCATCTGCTGTTTTGTTCTCCTGGATGGAATAGAAGCCAATATGCAAAATGCAGGTCTGAAAGTGCAGGTGTGTGGCAGTGAGGATCAGAGGCCATAGAAGACAATAGGTGTGAGACAGGTAGGTGGTTGGGGGAGGAAGGAATGTTGACCTGGTGATGTAGCTGAAGAGGTGCCGGAGGACTGGAAGAGGGCCAACGTGGTTCCCATCTTCAAAAAGGGGAGGAAGGAGGACCCGGGAAACTATAGGCCAGTCAGTCTTACCTCGATCCTGGGCAAGCTGTTCAAGAAAATTATTCTGGCACACATCCAGGAGGGACCAGCAGGGAAATGCATGCTCAGGGGCAATCAGCACGGGTTCATCAGCAGCAGGTCATGTCAGACCAACCTGGTGGCCTTCTACAATCAGGTCACTAAATTATTGGATGCAGGGGTAGCAGTGGATATAGTCTTCCTGGACTTCCGGAAGGCTTTTGACACTGTCTCTCACCCCGTTCTCGTTAGGAAACTGGGGGACTGTGGCATAGACACCCACACAGTCCAGTGGGTCGCCAACTGGCTAGAGAGCCGCACCCAGAGGGTGGTAGTGGATGGGTCCTTCTCAGCCTAGGAAGGACATGGGCAGTGGGGTCCCGCAGGGCTCGGTCCTCGGGCCCGCCCTGTTCAACATCTTCATCAGTGATTTGGATGAGGGG